CGATTTCCTTGTATGTGATACGGTTTTTGTACTTTATGGTGGGAAGGAGCTACTGCGACCTAGATGGTGTCTTCGGAGGACTAAGCCTGGAGTGGGAGGGGTGAATTCTGGGAAAAAATAAGCTTCTCACACACTTGAAGTCTCTCTCCCCTCCCCCTAATGCTTAGCCTTAGACGTCCACAATAAAACTTGGTAGTAGCATTGGGCACTGTCAATCGCAGTGCCCCTCACGGGATGAGACCCCCACTATCAAATACGAATGTCAAAGTACTCGAATATTTGGTGTGCGCTACCCCCGAAACGCACTTAGTGACTCAAGGTGTTGCCTTCATGCGTCAAGCGAGGACAACGCGCTCCTACAGCGGAGCCGCGACGCAGCCGCCGAACGAACGCAAATGTTCACATTGGCGTTTAAGTTCTTCTCTATTGTTGAACCATAATATGGGCAAAATGGGTTCGCCGCGCTATGCTCTAAAACCATGGAAAAGTTTACTTTACCCAGGCAACGCTTGTCAACGAATTTGGAAGAAGGTTCAGCAAAAGTCTCCAAGCCCGTTATGGGACGTTCTGTCCCACCTGTTGCGTTCAGCAGGCCCGGCACTAACAGACACCATCTGCTTCCATTGCTGTCAAGTCAAACAAAAGAGGGAGAGCTTAATGATTCGAACCTACTCGAAGAGGACTTCTTTCAGGTTTTGCTTTAAAGCTCAGGATTTCTAGACAAACGGCATCCACGAGTTACCTGCTAAAGGCAATATGTTGCGATTGTGGTGGGGCATATATTTGTAAATTGCTCACTGTGCTAAAGAAGAAAAGTGAATTAAAAAAAATTGACAAATGGCCAAAGACTTTCTCAACAACCTAATAGTTTCGTGAGTCACAATACGAGCACCCTCCACATAAGATCACAATATCTACTTATCCACTTCCTTCCAATGGAGTGATTCGAAAAGAATTGAGGTTGCTGGGAAGCTTACCTGCATATCGCTAAGATCTTGAAGTAAGAAAAACGGATTCCGCGTCAGATATTCGCCCAAATCCTCAACATCGAAGCCGAGTGAAACAAGCCATTGAAGCTGAAAGGTACGTGCTACATGAAATGCTTTCTTTTATAAAAAAAAAACAAATACCAGCTATCAAACTTCACCTTTGGCTTCACCTCCTTCTGCATATCAAGACGCAGAAGATGCTTAGCAGCTCGGGTTGTTTGTTCCACCTTTAATTTGAAAAATCAATAAAGTACGAAGGCTTGAGCGGCACCAAAAAGTAATCCGAAAATGACCAGGTACCTCAAACAGATTCATACCGATGTCAACAAGCGCTTGCAGAAGAGGAGAATGATTGACAAAGGGAACAATAGATCGGCTGTATACTGGAGGAGCGTGCTTTGATGGATCAAATGGATGCGGATTAGCTCTGAAACAAGAATGCGTGTTCGCTGACGTAAAGAGGGGTAACGAAAGAAAACACTACAGAGCCTGTAATAATAAGTAAGTAAGTACATATACTTATATTCTAACTCTAGAACCTTTTACACCAGCTGGAACTTTCAGGCATTTAACAAAACAATTCAGACAGTCGACGAAACAACCAAAAAAAGTCCGAATAAACAGCGCAGAAATGGAGCTCCTCACTGTGTGAATGAGGCTGACTTGCAATTTCGACTTGCCGTGTTAACTGCCGTTTTTCTAGGGCCGGTGTCAGACTGTGCGAATCCAGCGACTCGCTAGCGAGTCGAGCGATTCGGGAGCGGATCGCCGGATACGAGCGTTGCACCAGCAAAAAGAGCTGTGAGCCAGCGGTTCAAACTCGTTTGCACGTTGACTCTCGCCACTTTCCCGAGCTTTCATGCTCTCTCACTCTCTCATGCCCTCGTGAGCCTTGGAAAGTGGCGGAAGCCAACGTTCAAAGAAAGTCCCGCCACTTTCAAACAGTGTCGAGTCGCTGGTACATCGTTCGAATCGCTGTACACAGCTCGATTCGCTGGTGCAACGCTCGTATCTGGCGATTCGCTAGCGAATCGCTGGATTCGCAAGGTCTGACATCGGCCTAATGGTTTCTGCAGAAGTTACAACCCTTGAAACACAGTGCCTTGTTAATTGCATGAAAGCTCTAGCAGACACTACCATTCTGGACTGTTTTCTTTCATTAAAAGCAGACGCTCTACAATTCCCCCCCCCCCCCCGAAATAGAAAAGCCACACAGACTTACGGTGAGGGTGGCATTGTGAGATCGGATCCTTGTAATTCGCCCTCATTATAGATTATTGAACGGAATACGGTTTTGCCGGTCTTTCGCTTCAACTCCAATTCCTCGGGAGTCAACTCGGACCATTTTGCCTGTAAGCACACGTTTGCATCATAACCACACATATCAGTAAGGAACCCCTGAACTAGCCGTTTTTTACGAAGCCTAAGCCTAATACATTCATGTGAGCTCACAAAAAGTCTATGCTTTTAATAATAACAACATAACATTGCTTTGCAATATATAGTAGTCAGAAAAGAAACGTATCTTTACCGGGAGTGGCGTGATAGCTTTTTTTTCGTCTGCTGATACGAAGCTGAGATTTGACATCAGGTCCTCAGCACGCTCAGCCCACTCGCGTTCCTCCTCTTCGGCTTTTTGAACAAATTCCACTTCGGAGATTCGCCTGAGGCCATCTCCAGATGAATCTTCTTCGGCCTCATCAGCATGCTTAAAACAAGACCAGCAAGCTTAAACAAATGTTGGTTTCAGTGAATAACATTTCGCATTTCACCTCTGGTAGATAAGCATTTCGAGCTTTCCATCTTTTGATGCGCTTCCTTGTCTCACGTAAAATTTCTTCTTTCTCCTTGTCAGCTGGTCGGCGAGACCGGCTAGGGCCCTCTCCAGAGTTGTCCTTCTGCTCGAGAAATTAATTGGGGAAAATTTTACTGATGAATTTAGAAAAGTACACAGTGAATTGCGATAATCTCCAGGTATCAAAGAGCGAATAAAAATAGAGTAAGAGAAAGAAGCAGCATAGGTACCTGTTCTGAATCGACGTATTCTGGAGCGATGCTCGACTCTCTAGCACTCAAATGTACGCATGCATAGGACACTCGGGATCTCAAACCCATCGACAGCAATTTCCCACTGAACATCTGTAAAAAGCAAGCGTATCTGAGTTCCCACCTTAACAATGGAATCTATGAACCGAATCTAGAAGAATACCACCTTATCTAGACGTAATAAAGGAAAGACCTTCAATGGAATGTTCATTGCTTACACGCTGTTCACTGCTTTCACACAATGCGAAAGACGAAATACAGGGTGCGCCAAAATTACGGAGACAACGCATGAGCAAACAATTTGAACTGATATTCACAGATGCTGTTTTCTTCTGTCCTAGTTTTGGTACTGTGGTGTAGAATTGTTTATGCTTACCTTGTTCAACCACCAAAATCTATGGTAGCTGCAGCGGTTGACTGATACTGACACCGTCCCTAAATCATTGGACTTCGACGTTGAGGGTTTTTGGCACGCGACAATTATCATCGTTTTGGTGTATACCCGAGCACTATCAATAGATGCTCCAAGTGGTACAGGGGACAAGGAGCTGAATGCAGTCATTCTGGATGAGAAGGGCGTGTTTCTGTGGCGACCACGAACAATCTAAGGATTGTGTGCGATAGAATTTGCAGGTAGTTGACGCGCTGGTTTCACTGGATGTCACGAGAGATAGGAATCAGGGGGGCTCTTTTGGACTTATCAGAGCCCATTGCTATCCTGAGTTTATTTTCACTTTGAAAATCGTTGCTGGGCCTTCCATCAAGTAGGAGCTCCCGTTTACGAGGCAAGGGTGGTTCAGTACTAGTGCAGCATTGATGCAGAACCGATTTTTTCGACTTTGTCGGCTTAAACGGTGGTAGAACAGCATTTCAGATCTGAGCTCGATAGGGTACGCTGTCGGATCCGTTCTAGAAGCTGAGGCTTGCATAAAACACATTATGTCTAGGGATTCGTTGAAGAAACCGCTCTAAAATGAGCTTGACGAGTCCTACTCGCCACATTGCGTGCCACAGTCGATGGTTCCTCGATGTTTCTGAGGACCCGTATAAACACAAACCAAGGAATTTCAAAAATTGCATGGATGTCGACGATTCAGAATGGGACTGTGCACGTCACTGCATTTTTGTTTTCAAAGAATTGCACCTTGCTCATCCTAGGCAACTCGAAGTCGCTGTCTCCGTAATTTTGGCGCACCCTGTAGATATGCGTAACCTCTAGCTCCTCGACCGCTACGAATGGTAGTACGAGGAATAAGACTCGAAAATAAAAAATAGCTTTTCAAAACAAAGAAAGCGGCGTCCAAAACTACATAACTAGGCTCTCACGTCGTATATGGATATGGATATTCAAGTGAGTGAGCCACTTACAGTATTTGGGTAGCTTTAAAGAGCGGGAAGGATCCTTGGAAAAAATGAGAGCAATTTTTGCTTACTTAGCATTTTTCCTCTCTCTTGGGCTTAATCCTAACGTCACCAACCATGGACGTAACAATAATATTTTTGAATGTAATGTTTTGAAGTTCCCCCTAAAGACAGGAGCACTCATAACTATGATAAACTATTCGGAATTATCAATACTAACATCTAGTGATGGAAAAAAGGGTCTAAGAGTCGAGGAGGGCAAACTGAATGGGGTTGGCCAACGACCTCCCTGTCGATTAGGCAGACCTCACATTCAGATGCGTTCGTTTCTAGTGGCGGATTTTACGATGATTTGAACGTGGTTTATAGCCTTAGTGATAGGAGAGAGCTTTTGCTAAGTGAAAGGTGCGCCTTACTTACAGCCAGCGCCAAGAGCGCTCTAGGCTTATCACATCCAAATTCTGACGAGTTTCGTCATTTAGCCACCTGGAGAATTTGACAGACTCAAGTTTTTAACATTTCCTTAGTTCGCGCTGAATGCCCCCCCCCCCTCCTCTTACGACGACAGCACTCAAATATACAACTAGTAATGCGCCTCGTCATTCTCTAAACAGCTATGCGAACATTAGAAGTTAGATTTAATAAAAAAAAACTAGCGTAGATGAATACAAACACCTCAGTAATATCCCATGCCGTGCGTGCCAAGTTTTTGTCAATTTGGAAAGGCGCAAATGTAGTTACGGCCAGGGTCAACCCCCGCGTTCGACCAATCTCTGAAAAAATGCGATCTCCCCTCTTTGGTATGTATTGATGCAACCCCCTCCCGACCATCACAAGGTTTGCCCGCACTTGTGACCGCTCTTACCATTCTCAACACTACCCTTATCATGTGGTTATTTATATGAAACTTGATTCTAAGATCAGTCGACATACTTCAACTCGCCCTCCTTTTGACGGACGTCGAGCGAGAAAGGGTGGGGAAGTAGTGTCCAAGAGAAGGCAAATGTTCCATTTCTAATTTCGTTTGAACCTCGATTTCCTGGGATTTTCGCCAAAACTCCCTAAGAATAGCCTTTTCAAAGAGAGTCAATTTCAAAGCTGATCATGGTTCGGTCAGACAAACGGCTGACCATGGTCAGCGAAAGGGGCGCAACGCAATAGTTCATTCCGCGACAGAAATCTCGTTTTTTTTTGGAGTGGGAGCCCGAAGCAAACAATCAGCACGAGCGCAATAAGGTGAATTATATACATTGCAAAATGAATATATTTTCCACGATTTCGAACGCCATCCCACGCGAAGCATGTGGAAACCAACTAGGGCGCGTTGATAGCAAACGCTTGCAATTTTCGCCCAGTACGCTCTGAACTCGCGCTGCAACAGGGGTTTCCCTTGTTTGTACATGCTATATGAATGTTTGAGTTGTCACTGAAGGTACATTTGATGAACAACTGATAAATTCTCCTCAGCCGCAAAACGAGCGTACACGTTTCCTGGTTTTTTTTTGCCAAAATTAAAAAAAAACTGTGGTTCACATATAAACACAGCTAGCACAACACTCCATCCACATGATGCATTGAAGTAAGGGCATTTTGTAAAGAAAGGGACATGATGAATACTAGACACAGGACCATTGCTGACCAGTAATGGACCTGAGGCCTTGCAGCAAAAAATGTTTCGCGTTCGAAAAGCGAAAAAGTCGTTTTCTGTCCTAGTGAACCACACCCCGACTCATGTCGACAATAAGGTGATTTTATCAAGGGCATCCAAGCGTTCCGCTCTCTTGGCTATTGTCTGCTCCAAGGTCCCATCATTTAAGAGGCGCGAGGTGCTCTCTATGCGAAATTTATCCAAAGCCAGAACTGCACCTCATTAGATTAGCAATAAATGAATCGCTCTTGCCACGGAATAGCAATTTCCGGTTTGAAAATATATCTACGTGTGATTGAACACGTTGACTACCAACAAGGCGAATGAATTAATGTTTATATCACTAATCATAAACGCAGATATTTCCTACCACTACAACGCAATCAACAAGTGATAGACAAAAGACAATAGATAACAACAATGTTCTAAAAAACAACTTCTGAGCTACTATAGCATCACACTGTACTGGCCCTGCATGTGGGCCCGGGTCTAAACATATCACAACAGCACACAGGGTCGACGATCGACGAATCTTGGCATCGTATGTGGTATTTTTCTTAAATATCATATCACAACATTCCAGTAACAGAAACATCAAGGCAGCTTAAAAAGTGTCATTTGTCGATCACGTATTTCCAGCCGCACCAAATCATAGTGCTTGAAGTAGACCTGATAATGAGCGAAAAATGCGTGAGTTTTATTGGAATGTTGCCATTAGAACCCATCAATTAAAAGGCACACCACGTATACCCGTTCGCTTGCAGCCAGGAACGGCAGCCTGATAACCTCCAGAAATACCCGTCAAAGCCGTCTCACTATTACCCGACAATCTCATAATTAACCAGAGAAAATCTGCAACCGTACAAAAAATCACGTCAAAAGCGAAAGAAGAACGTGTACGTGTCCACTGAAAAAGGATGTAAGTGTCCACAATACTCTCCTCGGGTCCGCCTACCAAAACTCACAGCTTTCAATCCAGCCGTTCAAATTGCTTGATTTTCTCTTTTTGTCTGCACACACTCGCCTAAACAGATCACCAAATCAAGCGATTTGACGACCCGACAAAATGCCACGAATTTTCGCACGCGCAACCTCGCGGCGTGAATACAGCAGATAGCCACCAAAAACTACCCATGGTGTACATATCGTAGCAGCTGTATGGGGAAGTAACTTGCATTAGAACAACAATCAAACACAAGAGAGGAAAGCATCAAATCACCCTGAACGTTGAAAAGAAAAAAAAACTGCCTCTGAAAACCCTCACGCAAGCCACCCAAAGTCACTGCACTGGTCTCATCAATTGCACACCGCCTGCAGGAATATCAAGCTCTCGTAAGGGGAGGGAATACCTGAGGTGCATGGACCATTTCGCTTCCCCTTTTACGCCCACCCAGGAGCCTTCTTCCTCATCGAAGTACTGGACTGATTTATGCGAAATGAACCGTCACACCGTATGCTTTTCCCCTTACTAGATGAGACCCATTCAAACAAACATACAGCGAAAATTCGAAGAATAAACTGATTCTAAAACAACGAACGCTAACAAAACTTATGAGGGCGCCCATTGGTTATACTTGCGCCAGATGTTTCAGAATATCGATCCAATCGGAGCCTCTTTCCTTAGCAGTACCCTCGTTTCGATCCCACAGACGTCTCTTGGCAGCTTTTGTAAGCGGTTCATCCCTGCCAGACCGGCGCTCCTCAGCCCTCGCGTCAACCTCAAGTTGCGTCTGCTTCACCTCCCAGTTCGAAGTAAGTTCTTCGAAATTTGACGAAACATAATCGATAAGAGTGAACGTCACGGCCATGCCATCATTTTCTTTAGCCACTTCTAGAACCTTGTTTTTGATCTCCTGACGAACACTGTCAGCAATGTTACTGTTGTAAAACACGTCCATATTGATACGAGGAGGAGCTGCGGGATACTGTGGCGGCCATTCGATTTCTATCACGAAACTCTTGGGGGTATCGACACCAAATTTGTACTGTACACGATTGTCACCGATTGCTTTGAAGTTACTGTCACCTTCATAGATTGACTGGAGAACCTCCATTTCAACAGCTTGTTCCTCGTTCACCGCCATTCTATAACACAATACTACAACACTGAGTTTCAGGAACCGACTTCTTAGAGATAAGCGAGAAAAGTGTGAAGGGAATCAAAAGATTAAAGGTATCAATCACGACGGAAAAACTCCTACCGGATGATGTAAACAAAAGATTGAAGGGTGTGGTTCACTAGGACAGAAAGCGACTTTTTCGCGTTTCGCAGCGCGAAACATTGTTCGTTGCGGGAATCTCGGGTCCACTGATGATTCGCTGCGGGAACCTCGGGTCCACTGATGATCAGCGGTGGACCTGAGGTTCCCGCAGCGAAAAATGTTTCGCGCTGCGAAACGCGAAAAAGTCGCTTTCTGTCCTAGTGAACCACACCCAAGATTGAACGGCACCTATTCAACTATTACAACCTCAAAATCTTAAAATTTCAAGTTCTGCCGATTTGCTTCTGATTATGGAAATTACATTCAATTTTGGCGTTGGCGCCATCTGGCGCCAGAGCTGTTTTCACCAAATTAGCTGTAAACTTGTACACCAGGGCTACTTGGGTCCGTAATTGCGACGTAACATTCATTATCGGCTCCTCCACTTTCTTCACGACTTGAGGCGCGGCGCGACGACCGCGG